TGTTAAAAAAAGAAGAAGAAGAAGAAGAAAAAAGAAATGGGGAGGGGAGTGGTTGGGGAAAGAGAAGGCAAGACTGAACAAGAAGTTCAGTGTTAGAGCACCCTGGATTCAATTTCCAATATTGCCTAAATAAATAAATAAATAAATAATTCAAGCAACAAACAGCAAGATAATATTTTCAATATATACAAATAAAAATTACATAAAGAATTAATACAAGCCATGTATGGTGGTGGCACACCTGTAATCCCAGCTACTGGGAGGCTGAGGCAGGAAAATCACAAGTTCAAGGCCTGTTTTATCAGTTTAGAAAGACCATGTCTCAAAATAAATTGAAAAGGGGCTGGGGATGTAGCTTAGTGGTAGAATGCTTGCCTAGCATGTGTTAGGCCCTGTGTTCAATCCCCAATACCAAAAAAGGTGGAAGACGGGGGACACGGAGTGGGGAGAATTGAGACAAATCAATAAGAAAAGTAGGCCAAACATATGTATAAACAGGTACTTCACAAAAAAGGAAATGCGATTGATAATACATAAAAATTGTTCAATCTCATCAGTAATCTGGGAGACACAAAATAAAATTTCATAAATTACTTTTTATTCCCTACAAATATCACAAAAGGGCTAGGCACGAGGGGACATGCCTGTAATCCCAGCAGCCCAGGAGGCTGAGACAGCCAGCCTCAGGAACAGAGAGATGCTAAGCAACTCAGTGAGACCCTGTCTCTAAATAAAATAAAAAATAGGGGTTGGGGTTGTGGCTCAGCAGTGGAACGCTTGCCTAGCACATGAGAGACCCTGGGTTCAATCCTCAGCATCCTGTATAAGTAAATAAATTAAATAAGCTAAAAAATAAATATTAAAAAAATGATAATAATACAAAATAGGGCTGGGGATATGGCTTATCGGCTGAGTGCCGCTGAGTTCAAACCCTAGTACCCCACCAAAAAAAAAAAACTCACAGAAGATTTCGAAATCAGTTAATACCAATAGGATTTTTTTTTTTCTTTTAAGTACAAGAATTGAACCCAGAGTCTGGGACATGGTAGACGAGCACTCTACCATTGACTGGGTGTACCCTGAGCCCTTTTTTATTTTATTTTGAGACAAAGTCTTGCAAAACTGATCAGGCTGGCCTTAAATATACAACCCTCCTGCCTCAGCTTCCCAAATAGCTGGAATTACAGGCATGTGGCACCATACCTGACTACTAATGGGAATTTTTAACCACTGCTGGTGGAAATATAAATGGATAGCAACTATTTTCAATCAATTTGATCTTATCTACAAGAAGTGAAGAAACACATTACTTACAACCCAAAAATTCTACTCCTAGTTATATAGTCCAGAAAACAATCTTGAACTAGAATATATAGACGACTGGATAAATAAATGAACATTTATCCATAATATGAATATATCTTTAAAATATAATTCCATGAAACACAAAGTACTGATACTTCCATACCATGGAATAATAATCATCAACAAAAAAGAACAAACTATTGATACAAACAACTTGGATGAATCTACAGGAACTTATGAGTGAAAAATCAATAACCAAAAGTCATATACTAAATGATACCATTTATATAAAATTATTGAAAGTTTATTACCTCAGGAGTTAGGGAAAGGACAGGAGGGGTATGGCTATAAAAGTCAGCAAGATCTTTGTGATGATGTACCTATTTTGTATCGTTACAGTATGTAAATATTCTAGTTATGATAGTGTACTAGTTTTTTAAGGCATTCCCATTGGGGGAAACTGGGTAGAGTATGCAAGATCTCTCCTTATTGATTCTTACAACTTTATGTAAATCTATAATTATCTCAAAATTTAAAATTAGATTAAAAACAGGAATATAAACAAGGTAACAACAAAATTTGAGAACTACAGATATCATATCTCTCCTTTCTACTTTTCTATATTTTCTAAATTTCCCATAATACCTCATCATTATTTATCATAAAGGAAAAAATATTTTTCAATTCTTTCTTTTAATAAACATACTCATAAAACTGTATCCTTAACAATCATCTAAAATAGTGTGCATTAACAAGACTATACCTGACACAGACGTTAAGAAAATCATGTTGGTTTTTTTTGTTGTTGTTGTTTTTTTAATATTTATTTTTTTAGTTGTAGTTGGACACAATACCTTTATTCCATTTATTTATTTTTTTATATGGTACTGAGGATCCAACCCAGGGCCCCGCGCATGCTAGGCAAGTGCTCTATGACTGAGCCACAATCCCAGACCCATGAAAATCATGTTAAAAGTGAACATCTAATCATTCTACATGAATAGTCATGTTTGTAAGACCATATATGGACCATAATTTTATCTTCATCATTTAGCAAGTAAAAAGCCTTTGTAAGTAGCATCCTTCATGTTACCACTTATGAAAAAAACTGGTAACAATTTAAACACACAAAGTAGGATCCTGCCTAATTTGAAACATACCTGCATATGGAGCCATTCCTAATATAGTGGGCATCAGTCCTCTGTAAAATCCAAGGAAACCACCTTCCTTTTTGTGAAGAAAATTAGAAGTGATATTACATTGTGTTCATTATGATAAAATTCAAAGAATAAAAACACACACAAACTGGAAAAATTATTCTGGGACCCACACTGAAATACAAGAATAGGCTTTCATAATTATTATTATTAATATCAGTTAGATATAATTCAAAATCATTTCCTAAATATAAAAGGACATGTTAAATATGTGGAAGGTAAATATGAAATACCTTTGCATAAATTGTTTTGAATGCATGAATGATTCCTGTATAGGTGTGTTCCCCTTTCACCTGGAATGCTAGGCGTACTCTAACCATGTCAAGAGGGTAAGTACAGATAACTGCTGTCATACCTGGAAAGAAAATTAAAACTTAAATATAGAAAAAAAATTATGACACAAACATGTATGTGTATATGTATGTATTTATGTGTATGTATGTGTACAGATCTCTCCTATCAATAGTAGTGTTCTCAATATCAGAGTAATGATGAAAACCCAATGAAATCAAAGGTAACATTAATGATGGAATTATAATCAGCTGGAAAAAAACACGTAGGAAGGGTCAGTCTGTTAAATTCTTTTAAAGTTCTTCCCATTTGCACTAGTATTTTTAGTACCAAATGGTATAGTATAAGTAGATCATGAGGCGGCTTTTTTGGAGTTTTGGGGATTGGATCCAGAGTCTCATACATGCTTAGTAAGTTCTCTACCACTGAGCAATATTCCCTGCTCATAAGGGGTTATTTATTTTATTTTTTTAGTTGTAGATGGAACAATACCTTTATTTTATTTATTTTTATGTGGTCTTTAAGATCAAACTCAGTGCCTCACATGTGGAAGGCAAGCATTCTACCACTGAGCTAGAACTCCAGGTTGTTTATTTTTTAAGAGACAACATCTTGCTTGCTTGCCCAAGGTAGCCTCCAATTACTGAGCCTGATCACTCCTCCCATCTCAGCCTTCCAAGAAGCTGTAACTACAGGTGTGTACCACCTATATACAAAATAGACTGGCTTTTATTATAACAGTTTATAAAAACAATTTATTCTACTGCTTCTCTATGTATAGTTAAGATATCAGAAAGGATATGCTATATACCTCTGACACTAAGCAAGACATGTGATTTTGATTTTTTACTTATTTTCCCAAAACATAAAATGGAGAAATTGTTTACTTAATGGAACACAAAGAATTCTTTTCTTAAAATTATATTAAAGCTGGCATGGTGGT